GTAATCTAGAAGAGAAGAGGAAGCAGACAGAGAAATTTGGGAGAGAAAGAAGCTCACGGACCCAGAGTCATTCTCTCTAAAACTTTTCTCTAAGTTTCTTTGAGAATGAACTTATGAAGTCCCCTTCTCAGAAAAACCCTTATATATTGTCCTTTCTAGAGTCAACTAAACTCTAAAATCTACTCACTACGTCACATTTACTTATACTAACAGATTCACATCCTAGGTTGTTATAAAGTTACTATAGGATTGACATGGTTAGTAGGGGGTAGGTAGTATGTGACCACCATTAGACCATCAATATATATCGAAACTTGTTGATTTGGTGCAAATATGAAGGAAGATAACCCGATGCTTTGGAATGTCATTGAATTTCCAATAGCATCTACTGTCCAACTGGTACCAGGAAATATAGCCGAAGTAACTACAGTGAAAGGTTCATGTATAACTGGTAGATCCATTTCTTTAAGATTTTAAAAGATACGTACATATATTAAGAACAAATAAACAAGAAACACAAAAGAAAGGAGCAAGTGAGAACATTTATCAAATAAAATTAATTAATTAAGAATATATATAAACATTTGCATATCATTATTAATCACCAATTTAGAATTTTACTCCATGGAAGGATTTGAATTGCTTTTGTAGTGATTAATTAGGATAAATGAGTTTAATCATGATACCAAATAATACAAGGATATTTTTCCTTAAATATTTACTCATTTAAATCCCCAAGATTAAACCTCTCACTACAAATTAATTCAAACCTATTGATAATTTATTATAAAGAATTAAAATTTACATTTACTACTATTTAAAGATACACATATATATATATATATATATATATATATATAATCAATTATTGTAATCATAGTCGATTATGTATATATATATCGATACATAATCGATTATCCCTGCATATATATGAATGTCGATAAATGCAGATGCCAAAGATGCTTTAGCTACCCGGTTACTTCCCCCTTCACTCCTCATGTTTGAGTGGAAGTTTTTGGTGGACCTATGCCAAAAACTTCCGACACACCTCCACTTCACCAAACACACTTCTAAATCCATCTTCCACACGCTTCCCTCTTCTTAGCTCCTCATCCTCTTCTCTTCTACTACACAAAACAAGGCATTATTGTCTTTAGATTATGAAAGCTGCACTGCACTGCATCAGCACTTCCATCTTTCAAAAAAGATCAGTTACGGCTACAAGCGTACAATTGCTAGTATGGTGTAAGGGCATCTATTTGTTGAAATTTTCAATTATTTCCACATTTGTTCAAGATTTCAAGGAGTTAAACGTCATCAATATTGTACACTTTTAACATCAATGCAAACATTGACAAAAGCAAAAACTGATAATAACAACCGTGAGTCGATATGTTCTTCAAAACCATTCACTGATCAGTTTATTTATCATTGCCCAATTAGACGGAAAAAGCAACAGGCAAGGATCACATGGAAGTTTTCAACGGTAAAGGCTTTCAGATCTCAGGTTCTCTGCAATTTCAGTCTCCCATCGGTCCCCATTTTCGAGCAGCTTCTCTTTGTCATATAAAAGCTCCTACAGCAAGCAAACACATAACCAGAACTAAATAAATAAGCACAGAAACAATTATTGGCACTTATTAATAGGTAGTACTTAAAAATATAATTAATAATAAAGATAGATAGAAAACATTATTAGCAAGCACCAACAGTTCGTATTATATAATTCAACGTAAAGGAAATGAAAACGAACCTCATGAGTCTCTGTAGCAAATTCAAAGTTTGGCCCTTCAACAATGGCATCAACAGGGCATGCCTCTTGACAAAACCCACAATAGATGCACTTGGTCATGTCAATATCATACCTGAAAGATTTATCAAATAAGAGAGCAAGAATAGAGTGGGGAAAGGTGGACAAGGGGCAGATAAGGCAGGTAATTCACCGAGTTGTCCTGCGGCTGCCATCTTCTCGCTCCTCAGCCTCAATTGTGATTGCTTGTGCCGGACATATCTAATATAAGAAGTATTATTTAGACAAAATAATAACATAAAGCTGCAACCTCTAAACAGAAAGGAGAGAAATGGGGAAAGTATGAACAAGGGGAAATAAAACACGGAAAAGGAATATTAGGACAATGATAATATGTAACGAATTGATCATTTATTGTAATTATTACTTAGGGTATTCATAAATAGATTACAGTTTAATTGTTTGGGGTTTTAGTGTGTTTGAGAAAGATTTTTCCCTCCAACTTTTAGCTGTTTCTATGAAAGAGGAAAAAAAAAACTATTTGTGAAATATGCTGATTGTTTGGAACAATCTGAAATTTGTAAACACCTTTTTTTTCCTGAAAAATAAGTTTTTTTTTTCATGAATCTAAAAATTTAAAGCTTATAATTATTTTCCAATAGTTTTTTTTTCCTCCTAGCCCTGATTTATTATATAAAACTATTTTTTTTTTCTATTCTAAAACGAAATTAAATATTTTAAAATTGTTTTTCAACAAACTTATTTAAATAAAAAATTCATTCTAGTTACAATCAATTATTGAAACAATCTAATTTTCAGTTTTTCCAGACACTCTTAATTTGTTGATACTTTAGGATTACTGGTAAAAAAAAGTTTTAATATAAAATCATAATCACTAGCCTATCAAGCATTCCCTTATTGAACTATCTGGATTTCAATATTTAGAGATTGCCATATGGTTTGAGCTAAAAACCTATGGTTTGAGACTGAACTATACCCAGACATTCTCCTTAACACACGCCTATACAATGTAAATTAATATGCCTTTATTCCTATTCTCTACTAGCCCTATTTGGTTATCCTCCATAGAGGGAGATAATGCTGCAGTACTACAACTGTATCAGTTAAAGAGAAAGTATCTCAAAGTAAATAAAACTGCTATTTTGATGTATATGAAATATACCTATTACAGCCTCCAAGGATGAGAGGGTTTGACTTTGACAGCTCTATTTGGGACAACTCAATTAGACAGATTTCTACCTTAGTAATCACAAGTATATTTTTCTACACCTGATTCAACTAATGACAACTCAGATTATAAACCTACCTAGGGTCTAAGCCTTACACTCTAGGCAGTGTGGTGTTCAAATTTGAAAATAGCTGCACATTTGTTTCTACATAAACCAACGACAACCTACACTTGGTAAAATCTACACACGACAGGAAAATGCAAAATAGTCTTAAAAGTTGGCTAGTCCAGTTTATGCAAACAACAGGAAAATGCTGTCATGCAGTTACATGCCATTTGGTAGTATGCATGCTCTCAAGGATCATTGTTAAACCAACATTATTGGATAAACAGTCAAAGCCTTACAGCTTCACAAAGTTTGCAAGCAATACAACGTTCCTCCCCAGTTGGATATCGTCGGAGTGCATGTTCACCACGGAAACGAGGGCTCAAAGGGCCTTTCTCAAATGGATAATTAATCTGCATTAGAGAATTCATGCATTAAGCATTTAATTAAAAGCTGCAACAGTATTGGCCAGCAAAAAGTTATAGTAGATACTTACTGTAACTTTTGTTTCAAAAAAGTATTTCAGCGTCAACATTAGACCTCGAACCATTTCAGTGAGAAAGAGAGTGTTGATGCTACGATCAAAAACTGTCATCCAGAGCATCAGCAATGAGTCAGTTGCATTATAAGCAGAAAAAACACAAAAATCAAACTGAAAATTAATGGCTTCCTAATAAATACCAGAACTCCAATCCTTTGAAATTTCCTTTGCAAGTTGCTCCCTTTCTTCATCCTCTGCAGTTTGTACATCAAAAAATTATGATATACATGAAGGGGGCATAAATTTGCAAAACATGCGTGTGAAAAGAAAATGGAGATCCAATAGATATCTCACTTGACAGACAAATGATGATACCGTTGAAGGTATTTTGTAAAGTTAAAGAAATGTCATGTTTGTTCACTGTAACCAATTCTGAAAAGTCATTCCCTTGACCGGTTGACACACTTAATTATCTGCTGGGGGAGGGGGTGATGTTAGGGGAAAGGTAAAAACTCAAAGGGCCAGTACCACAGTGAGGATGGGGGAGGGCATTGCAGTGTTTCAACCTGCGCACTCTCCTTGCATGTTACACAGCTCTACCAACTGAAATGTCCGCAAGGAATACATATATTTTTTAACAGTGCATGCGAACCCAGCTCATTACCACCTTTCAGAAAGTTCATTTATTGTACAGAACAAACTACGAAGAACCTAAACTAGATCATGATTTTCATAAAAATTGGTGCAGGAAACAATCAATATTCATATAGTCAGTCCTCAATAATTTTGCTTGCTAACCATTCTATAAGAGAAAAGACAGATGCTACGCCTGCAAAGATGGTAAGAGAAATGACAGACCTTTTTTGGTAGAGAAGGAGTGAGCACTTAATCGAAGGCCATAGTATTGGGAGCTGTGCAGCCCTTGTCCGCTTACAGCCTAAACGAGCAGAACAAAGAGGGTAGCTTAATCTAAGTATTTGATTTTGCCCCCTAAAATAAAAATGATCCATATCTAATTCACAACAAGCGTTAATATATCTAGTTAATTATCAGGAGCATCACATAACCTAAGGGAGAGGGGAAGAAATACAGGGTACTCAGATAACATTTGGTGTTCTGAACTCAATCAACATCTAATTAAGAGCTTTTTCTTGATTATTTAATTTCAACAAATAACGAAGAATCGAAATCAAATTAATGTTACCAGCTGGCGGGTACGAAGAGCAAGAAGTGATTTCCGAGCTAAGATTGCAGCCATTTGTGATTGCCGTGAAACCTGGAAATGAAAACATTAGATAATCAAATGCAGTATACGATTTATTTCAAATAGAACAATCAAGTTGAAGCGAATCAATTATTTACAAGGACTTGAAGGTAAAACGAGGAACCGAAAAAGTGGGAAGAGGATATTGAATTAAGGGGGGAAAACAAGTGGCGGTTTGAGAAAGCAGCGCGAAATTGAAGCAATTGGAGAATAAAAGGATTTGTTAGGGCTGAGCATTGAACGTTGATGGAGAAAAGAAAAAGAAAGCGAAGAGAAATACCTGATGGCTGATGCAAGTTTGATCTCAGAACAAATGACTGAGAAACGAGAAAACAATGAAGTACGGGAATGGAGTATGAAATATTTTCGACTGTTCCTGTTGAGATTGGAATAACGGGTAGCCCACAATTACCACAGTCAAGCCCAGCCCACTGAGCCCAGCCCAACACAAACTAATCCAACCCATTTCTTGTCACGGGTATTTAATTCTTGAGAGTTGAGAGGTTGCTCCATGTACCAAAACAATAATATTTTGAAAAGAATGTAACTGCGTGAAGAATTAAAAATTGAGAAAATTTTTATGTGTATTCTCCCTGCATAACATTAAGTATATGCATAGGGAGTAATAATTTTACACAAATAATAATAATTATAGTAGTGATTGTACTGTAATCTTAATCCTAGGTATAATAATGTAGGAGTACTGTACATCTTATATTCTTACTGTAGTAACTAAATATTGAAAAATAGGGAGTGAAGACAGCAACCCCGATGAGCAAAAAACAAACAAACAGAACATGTCTCTCTTCAAAATTTAAAGGCAGTTTCTCTCTCTCTCTCTCTCTCTCTCTCCACTCCTTTAATTTATGGCCATTTACAAGGCAAGCACTTTCTCTGCCAAAAGAAAGTTGAAAGTGGAAGCATTTTGAAACCCCTCCTTCCTCCTCCATGTCGAAACTTTCTCTCCACTTCCCCTTCATCCTACTCCACCGCCTCAAAAGATCCATGCTTTCTCTCCTCTTCTCCCTCCCCACTTCATTCTTCGCCCTCCTCCTCCTCCTCCTCCTCTCCTACAACGCCTTCACCGTCTTCTCCGTCCACGTCCCCAAAAACAGGAAACCCCTCCTTCTCCCTTCCCCTCCAACACTCTCCAATCTCTCTTCTCCCCACAATCCACCACCTTTTAACGACACCCACTTCCCCCTTCTCCCAAACACCACCCAAAGTTTCTCCCTTTCTGCTAAGTCCAGAAGAGTGAGGAAGCACAAGCGTGGCCTCAGAAGCCTCCGTTCAGAGCCCAACTCTCCCTTTTCACTTTTCCGTGCCAGACTCAAAGCATTCTTCGACAATTCTTCCTGCAAGCTCAGGTTCTTCATGACATGGATTTCGCCCTTGAAGGAATTCGGGGAGAGGGAGTTAGTCTCAGTGGAGAGCCTCTTCAAGTCGCACCCCGAAGCTTGTTTGATCATAGTGTCAAAGTCTCTAGACTCTCACTTAGGAACTCAGATTTTAAAACCATTCGTGAGTAACGGTTTCAAAGTCATGGCCATTGCGCCGGATTTCGGTTACATTTTCAAGGACACGCATGCTGAGGCGTGGTTTAATCGGTTAAAGGAAGGGAATGTGAACCCTGGCGAAGTCTCCTTAGGGCAGAATCTCTCCAATTTGCTTAGGCTTGCTCTCTTGTACAAATTTGGAGGTGCTTACATTGATGCTGATGTCATGGTGTTGAAGAGCTTCTCCAAGCTGAGGAACACCATTGGTGCACAGAACTTTGATGCTACTACAGGCAAGTGGAGCCGCTTGAACAATGCAGTGTTGATATTTGACAAGAGGCACCCTTTGCTTTTCAAGTTCATTGAGGAGTTTGCACTCACCTTTGATGGCAACAAGTGGGGACACAATGGTCCTTACTTGATCTCCAGGGTGGTGGCTAGGGTGAGTGGGAGACCAGGGTTCAATTTCACTGTTCTGCCTCCTTCTGCGTTTTATCCTGTGGATTGGAGAGGGATTAGGGGTTTGTTTATAGATCAGGTTCGTTCCAAATGGCTGGTCACAAAAATGGACCAAATTCGCAAAGAGAGCTTTGCGGTGCATCTATGGAACAGGCATAGTAGGAAACTTAGAGTGGTTAAGGGAAGCATTGTGGATAGCATCATTTCTAGTTGTTGCATCTTCTGCAACACTTAGCTTCATTTGTAGTTTTTATTAATTAGAGTTTGTAATTAGTGAGATAGAATGACTGTTGAAATAAAATGGTTACAAGCAATAAGTTGTTATGGGAGCAATTGTGTCTTCACTGTTAAAAAGGGTATATTAGATGGTTAAAATTGGAGGATTAAATAGATAATATGGGTTTGGAGTTTGGACCCTTTGTATGATCCTTTTGTTGTATCTATTTGAATTAAGGATCTATATGATGTGGAAAGTTTCAGTCATTTTCGTTCTCAGTAACACTGAAATCTGAATGGTGGAAGAGGGTGGCATGTTTGCATGTGGCTTGGGATTGTAAGTGGAAAGTAAACATGGGAAGATATTGAAGAAATTCATCGTGTTTGGGACTATTAAATTGTGAAAGGGATTTGTCAGCATCCAATCTTAATAGGGCACCTACTTTTTTCCTTCCACGTGACATTCGCTTTCATTTTGGCTTATCTTCTCGCGCATGTGTTTTGTTTGGGGAATTATACGTAGCCCTTTTTAATATAATCTTTTGCACAAATGAAAAGTTTGGCTCATTACTAGATCATAGAAGGGAAAAAGCAGAGAAAATTTTGGGAAGATAGGCTATGTAGTCATAATAGTAAGATGTTTGAGTCACTTTTGAGGTGCGATTTATTACTTGAAAAAAGCAATCATATGGAATATGGTTAGGTTCAACTTTAAGGAAAAAATAGATGATCAGATGAAGGCAGATTTCTGATCTACTAATCATAGAACTTTATTCTATATTGTGTTTTGTCGTGTTGATACTAATCGTAGGAATGTTGATAAAACTATTTTGAAAATTAAATTAAACTAAACTATAAAAAAATGAATTATATTTTATAAAAATTAAACTATATTTTAAATTCAATTAAAAAATAAATTACTATAAAATATAGTTTAGTGCACTATAATTATAAAATAAAAAAATGTTATAATAACTTTTACATAATTGTTGTATTTAACATGTGCAGTAATGATTTTTATTATAAATAAAATTATATATTTTTAAAATGTTTTTACTCAATTATATATTAATATGAATAATTAAAATATTTTCTTTTTAATAATTATTTGATAAATTATATTTACGGTGATCTTTAATTGATTTGACAGTATAAATAATGTATTAAAATTAAACTTTATTGTTAAAACACATTGACTATAAGTTAAATTATTTAACACTTAAGAAAATTTTTACGGTAACTTTAAATCATGTTTTTTTTACTAATTTGTTTTGTCTATGTTTAATTCACTTTTATTGTTTTTAGTTAAATGTAAATGAATAAAACAATATTTTTTTATGGATTACATACTTTTTCCTTTAAATAGTTAACTTGACTACATATTTATATATAACTTGAACTCGATATAATTGATTAAGTTGAAATAATTTTTTTACTAGTTGATAGGATTGTTCAAAAATTATCTCAAACTAAATTAATATAAAACTAAATTTAACTAGATTATAAAAAATACTCAACTATTTTTCATAAAAACTAAATTGAATTTAAGTTTGGTTTTAATAACTAAATTACTGCAAAAATTAATTTTTTTAGTTTAAATTACAAAAAAATGTTTGATTTAGTGTACAAAAATAGTTTAATACAATACAAAGTATAGTTCAAATAAATGGAATATTAACCGTGGTTCCATAATTACTTCTTATGAGTTTAAACTATTTTACTTTAATTTTTTATAAGTGATTTTTTGTAAGCGATTTTGGTTGACATATCACTTAAAAGATTTTAACTTTTCCAAATTAAACCATGTTTAACACTATTTATTTTATTAATATAAGTTTAAGAATAAAATTTAATTTAAAATAATTTTTATAATGTAACTTAGTTTAATTTATAGTAAAAAATAATAACTCATATTAAATTATAGTGTAGTTTGAACTATTATAACTATAGTTCATTAAATTAGAAAATAGTTTAACTTAGTTTTTGAAAATTATTTTATAATTTGTTTCAATTTAGATGAATTATTTTTATAATTTAGTATAGTTAACATATAATATAGTTTAGTTCAACCTTTTCAAACACCCCTAATTAATTGTGTATGGATCAACACGACATCAAGAGCAGCATGACACATGGTCACATGCAGATAGGTGATCCACCAAATTTCAGCTCTCAAGGATTCAACCACTGGTAGTTCAAACACACATTTGTTGCCTAGGATACAACCCCAAGCATATCTTTACTATTGACAACGAAATTTCAGAGATTTTCATGTCTCTAGGTCCTAGGATGTTACAGTGCTAGTATTTTTTGCTGTCAACCTTTCATTCTTATAAGTTACCATAATTTACTGTCATATAAAATTCGGTTTTATAATTTAGGGAAATTTCTCTCTATCTACGGTGGCTCAATGTCGATGTCTTTATTGATTGTTTAAATCCCAGAAAATGTTCACTTCAAACCCATAAATGCGATATGGGTATTTATTTTGAGCGGTTGCTGTTGTGCCTTTGTACTGATATTTTCGAAAGCACTTTAGCAATCAACGTGATGGTCTCAAGTCTCAACCTCTCTTGTCGTCGTTCCCTCCTTAAACTTAAGGACTAACTTTTAAATATATACAAATTAGTCTTAATTTTAAAATGTTGTATGGACTATATTTATAAATAAAAAAATACCTGTAAATTATAAAACACTTGGCAAGAAATGAAAATACTATTGTATTCTTGTCACGGAATAGACAATTTTCTCCCTTCTTAAACCATATTTTACTCAAGTGAAAATAAAATAAAATAATATATATAGGCACACGCATAAATAAATGAGAAATCAAATAATATCGATGTATTTTTACTAGTTATTATATTACTCAATAATTTTATATTAAAAATAAATTTTATTGATTCAAATTTTGTTAAAATTGAACAATAATTTAGAAGCTATCAAATTCTTTATATTTAGTATATTTTGAAATATATACTATATTAATTTTGATTTATATGAATGATGTATCAATTCATTTTATATTAATATGAAAGTTTATTTATATAATTTATATGTAAAAAACTTTTAATTTAACAATAAATTTTAAAAAATAATTATTTAATTAAACGTTATTAAATAGTATAATAATTGATAAAAATAAATGTTATATAAACATATAATAATAAATATTTTTTAAATAATTCCATAATAATAATTGTGGATTGTACATAAAATTTATTATTTCTATATTGTCAATTATGTTATTAGGTCTTATTTGTTACACACTTTTTTGTACAAATTATATATTAATTTAAATTAATAAATTGCTATATTCGTAATTGAAATTATAAGTATTAATGACTTCACTTTTTAAAAAAAAACTTTCATTTTGTTTTTAATCTTGTAAAAATTCATTTTCTTTAAACCTGGATGTTAATACAAAATGAGTTGGAAAAAACTGAAGATTTTTTTCTTCACAAAATTAGTGACTAAATGAAGAATTAAAATTAATGTTAAGACTACAGTGATTGATATTTGCAAATTCAAAGACTAATATAAAACTTTGCTCCAAAATTATTCATATACTTAATGTATTATTTATTAATATAATTTTTAATTCTTTCTTGTTACCTGTGTCATTTTTTGTTTATGTAGATTGCATGTCTCTATCTTTTTTTCCTTGGTGTCATCTCTATCTATACACGTGAGACATAAATAATTTGATTATATTGATAACAAGTTTTTTAAAAAGTGGATTTTTGTTATAATTTTACGTCTAAATTAAGATTGAAATTGAGTTTAACTAACTTGAAAATTATAAATGACTTGATTCCTTCCAAACTTGGGCTATGTTACTTTGCAAATTTCATTATACAAAATGAAGAAGAAAGAAATTGCTAGAGAATAAAAGTACAAACTCTTCTAATTAAAATTAATTTGATCCACTAAGATCAGTCTAACAATTAGGGAATTCAGGTATTATACACGATATTATAGATTCTAACCACATAAAAAGTTGAAAATTTTCACTTATTTATTAAATAAGTTAACTTTGATAAATGAGTTGGTAGTTTAGTAGTAGCAGAAAGAAAACTACTCTATCTAGATTGTATATTTCTTATGCAATTTTAGCTTTCTAATTTTTTTAATTGATTAAGTTTTTTTCTCTTTCTTAACATAAGTAAATTTGGTTCCTCCGTCATGTTTATCTAAAACTTTCAAATTATTTTTCATCTAAATATTTTATAACGATAAATATATGATAAATGAAATAATGTTAAGAGTTTAAAAGCCAAAATCTAGAGAAAACTTGAAGGTTCATACAAGATATGAAATAAGGGTTTTGTTTAGTGAAATTTGATATTTGGGTTAATAAGTTTTGTATAAAAGAAAAATTAATTGATTTAATTTTGAATAAAAATGAAAATAAACATTTAAAATTAAAAAGAAAAGGAAAAAGGGTGAAATTTGTTTAATTTAAAAAATGAACTTAATAAAAAAATTGGGAAATCAAAATCACATATAATCTAAATTATGGAAGAAAATTACTATTTTAAACCTTGAAATTATTACAAGCTATTAAATAAGAGTTCTGTGTGTATATATATATATATATTTTTGAAGGGATTCTGTGTGTGTATGTACATTAAAAAAATGAAAGAATCGTATTAAATAAAATGGAATTGGACAACGCCCTAAACACTAACGGGTAAATAGAGACACAAAGCTCGTGATGCAAAAGAGACAATACAATTCCAATTATGGCTCCATGAAACAATTCTATATGAATTCATCTTCAACAGTCTGTAAAAAATAAATAGAATACATGCAAACACTAAGATATGCTACTAAAGCTTATATTGGTGCTGGTAGCTTGAAGGGCAACACAGGTCATGTTTCTCCTTGTTTTGTTAATAAATGTAAACCATGTCCCTCTCTATTTAGAACAAATCCTTCTATGATGTAAAAGCAGAAATGCCCGCTATTACAAAAGAACCAAACCAGTATAGTACTAGCTTTGACATATCAAGGATTTTAGTTTAAAGATTTGGTATGCTACCAACTCATGACTTCTGCATCAGACGCTCTACATCTCCCATTTCTACCTCACTTTCTTCCAAATCATCCTCGTCTTTGAAGAGTACTTCAATTTCCTCCAAAGTCTTTCCTCTAGTCTCTGGCACACAATAATGAACAAAGGCGACAGCACAACATGAAATAACACCAAAAACAAAGAATGTTCCTGCTACCGTGATTGCACGAGAGACTGAGAGGAAGGACATGGAGATTGCACCACTACTGACCCTACTTCCCACTGCTCCAAGAGCTGCTGCTTGAGCTCTAAGTCTCAATGGAAATATCTCAGATGACAGGACCCAGCATATGGGGCCAAGTCCCACTGAGAAGGAAGCTACATTTCCACACACTGCAAGAATTGCTAATGCGATCCCAACTTTTGCATGACTCAGAAAAGCTAGAGACAAGCTCAGGCTAAATAAACATACCGTCATCCCAATTGTGCTTGCGTAAAGCAAAGGCTTTCTCCCCAATTTGTCGATAAGAAATATAGCTATCAAGATGAAGAGAGTTTTGGTGAACCCAACAGCAACTGTTGCTGCCAGAAGCTCAGAGTTGCTGGTAATCCCCGCATTCTTGAAAATTGTGGGGCTATAATATACAGTTGTATCTATGCCTGTAACCTGTTGGAAACACTGAATTCCACAACCAGTTATGAGCATTCTTCTAACAGGAGGAGTAGGGCACAATATTTCTTTCCAGACAGCTTTTGATTCATACTTGTCAGCGTTAGCTGATCCAGCAGCTACCTGAATTTCTTGCAACTTTTCTTCAGCCTCCTTCTCACTATCATTTATCTTTAACAACACTACTCTAGCTTCTTCGATCCTATTCTGCACCACTAGCCATCTTGGGGATTCTGGTATGACAAACAGTGCAAGAGCAATAACAACTGAAGGGAGAAGTCCCACACCAAGCATTACCCTCCAATTTATATGTGACGGAAGCCCTGAAAATGCGTAGTTTGATATGTAGCCAAGAAGGATTCCAAAATTTATAAATATCTCGGGAAAAGAGGTAAGAGATCCCCTAGCAATGGCTGGAGAAATTTCAGCAATATAGACAGGTGCAATCATGACACCAAAACCTATACCCACCCCAGCCATGAGTCTGCCTATCATCAATACTTTAAAGGATGGAGCAAGAGCCATAACAGCTCCACCTGTTTGGAAGATAACTGCTGCCAAACCAATTGTCCATTTTCGACCGAGCACATCAGATGTCTTTCCACCTGCTAAACTACCCAACAGGGATATTATGCTCAAAATTCCAACGAGTACTTCTTGCTGAACCTCAGTTATCTTCAGATCCTCCTGAATGAATATAATTGCTCCACTCATAACACCCACATCTGCAAAATGATAAGCAAAGACAACCAGCTAGAGTCTCAGTTTTGGTCCCTATTAATAAGTGTAAAAAACCTTTACACTAAGTGTAAAATAATTTTGATAAATAAGTGTAAAAAACCTTTACACTGCCAACTACTTAGAAATTGACATAGACATGATTTTTACACTCTAACACATTCCTTCTAGTACACTCTTTTCTAATAGTTAAAATTTATTAAAAACTACAAAATCACAAGTGGAGCTTATTAAATAAAAAAACCAGACTCGCAAAATTTTATGATGTCCAAAAAATACACAATGAGATGTTTATGTAGTCCATATTATAAAATAAATTAATACAATGGTTGCAAACAAGGCATAAACCAGTTTAAGATTTAAGTTTTAAGTTTCTGTGTTCAATTATAAGTAAGTGTCTGACAGGAAAATTGCATATCATATTCAAGCAAAGCACATATATGATATAAGACTTACTAAGCACAAGCACAGACACAGATATACACAAACATACAGGTTCATAAATAGACACAATAATAACAGCCTTACAAGTGGGGATTGTACCCACATTATGTCCAAACACGCTTTTCCTCTACAATTCTTGAACACAAAACCGGTGTTGCAAATTACAAAACAGCCCCGAATTTTACATTCATCGCTGTGATTGATATAGTGAAGTAATCAAATAAAAGTCCTAAAATTAAACTATCAAGTCCCATAGAAGACAACAACCCCATCCGTTTTTTAATTTTAATTTTTTTATTGGCAGATATTGGGGAATTTATGAGCAGATCAAAATTAGAACAAAAAAGAAAAAAGAAAAAAAAAAGAAATAGAATTACCTACCATAGCCGAGAAGCACGGAATTGAGAGAGGCGAAAACGGCGCATGCAAAGATATATTTCTTGGTCTCGTGCTTCTTGTTCTGCAAAACTTGGTCTTCCTCAAGTGGATCAGAGGTCATCTTGATGTATTTCGTTTTGGCACCCATCGGAATCTCAGATATCCCGTCCTCATTCCCGTTTTCTTGGACCCCAACTAGCCCCATTCTTCTGCTTCTGTAACCCTTAAACAGTTAATGATAATAATATGGACCAATTGGAGCTCCTTGTTCTCTAACAACAGAGAGCGAGGAACTCAAATGGATTATGTTCCTAGATCTGAAATGCGGATAGGAATTGAATGAGAGAGGGAAGGAAGGATTAAGGTGGAAGAAAAAGGAGGAAAAACTGGCACCCCATTGGAAAATGATTTTCTCAAGTTTCGGTTTTGGCCAAAAGATGTGCGAGAAATTACCACATTGTCAAGTCAACACAGTGTGCCTTACTTGGACTTTTTACTTTTCTTCTCTTTCAATGAACCGTGTATCTAGGGAGAGAAACAAAAACAAAACACATACTATGAGTACCATATATTAATTGTACAATTAAAAAATAACACCAAGATTCTGTACGTTGATAGATCCAGAAATTTTAGGTAGTTGGGGTAATATTTACTCATATATTTGTAATATTAAAAATTTTATATATAATTTTTAAAAATATAAATATATATTATAATTATTTTATAATTTTTTATATTTATAATTATGATTAAGGATAGAAATAAATTGGATAAGACTAGATTATATTATAATTTAATATATTTGAACCTAACTTTCTTTAAAATTACATGTCTCTGATACAACTTATTTATCTGTCATAGATATTTTTTAAGTGTTTGATTAGAATTACAATTTTAAAAACCTACTTTATAATAATTTAACAGTAATAAAATCATAAAAATAAATATGAAATTTTATAAAAAAAAATAAGTTTAATTTATTTCATATAAAATGTTTTTAATATTTAACATAAATTTTTAGATGATAATTTATTTTAAAATATATTTTATCAATTCAAAATAAAATATAAATCTTCCAACCTTTCCTATTTTGATTTTTTTAATTAACATATGCAATCTTACAATCTTTACTATTTTGATCTTTTTAATCAATATATACAATAAATAGAAAGTATAAAAGGTAAACATGCATAGTGCAAATTTTATTATATCAAAAATTAATATTTTAACATATTACTTTATATAAGTGAACATTAATATATATATATATATATATATTATAATTAAACTTTTTTTTAAAAACTAATTCATTATTAATAGGTATTCTCTATCACATATGAAAACTAATTTCCTTCAAAAATTAAAAAAATATTAAATAAATGAGCACTTCCATCAAATTTATATTATATACATATGATAATTTAAATATATATATATATATATATATTATTAGAATATAAATTTTATTTTTTAAAATATATTATTTTTTGGATAAAAAAATATATACATAAAATGGTAGTGGGACAAGTGCCCCCACTATTTCCTATGTAGATCCATCCCTAATTCTGTACAAATGATGTTATAGAAATTGTTATATGAACTATATTTTTTATATTAAAAATAACATCATCTGCTAAGTATTTTTTAATAAGTTTCAAATTTCATTTTATAAATAAAAATGTGATTAAAAAATTGTTTATTAAAAATATTTAGTAGCTAAATTTTCTATAAAAAAAAAATATTGGAAAGCTAACGAATATTTTACATGGATGATTGGTTAATAAAAATATAATAAAAAATTATTGCACGTATATTTTACTTTAAAAAAAAGAAAAAAAAACATGTCTCAGGTTGTGTCTCTGCTGTTGGTACTAGGTATTCTGAGAGTAACGCCTACGACATTGTGACACGTCATCGTACGGAGGGAGAGTAACGCCGTTCCAGTTCATACTATGCGGTGTGGAAAAGAGGATTCCACCGACGGCGAGGGGTACTTTTGGATTCACGAATGCATGGTGCTCTTCCTTTAATACCCCTAGTAGTGTGGGCCCTTCACTCGCTTTTACTTTTACAATAAGTATATATACTTTTTTTTCTTCTTAATATAGGCATAATTAAATTATAGTTATTTTTTTAAAAAATTAAACTTTAAGAAATTAATATGCAATAATTTATTTTTTAATAAAAAATAATCAAAGTCAAACATTCTGAAAAAGCAATTAAAAGTCAAAATTTTTCTTTCAAATTACCTACAAATGTTTAGTGTTATAAGTTTCATGCTCTAAATATTCAGTCATCGGTGCAGGGAAGTGTATTGGATATCATACAATGATTAGTAATATGACCAAAATAGTATATGTAAGTGAAAAACAATTATCACCTTACAAATTGATTTTGTAAGATTGAGAAACTTGAGTTTGAGTTAGACTCAATATGTTTGTAGGTCATGGTTTAAAGGATTTAGAAGAGAAGAGGAATGATTTGCATAGAATTGAAAAAAAGTTAAGTTATATGGGAGAGTGATTTATGAGGAATTGAGGGTAAATAGAGGTGGATGCCATAAAAAAAACACTCTTAAATTGAGGGATGACCAAGTAAGTATATATAAGTGAAAAATATTCCTCATCTTATACACTAACTTTGTAAGATTGAGAAACTTGAGTTTGAGTTAGACTCAATGTGTATGAAGATCATAATTTAGACGGGATTAAAAGAGAAGAGGAATGTTTTGCATGAAATTAAAAAAAAGTTATTTGAGAGAGTAATTTGTGAGAATTTGAAGATAAATAATGATTGAATATAATAAAAATATAAATATAATTTTTTTTTTTTTTGCATAATACTAATTTTTTAAATAATTATAAAATTTGCTATATTTTCTAATAATCAATTTTCATCTTTCTCTCTCATTTTCTTCCATTCCTCAACCTCTCCCAAACAAAGCAAAATACCAATAAGGAGAAAGGTAACTTCTTTGAAAAGAGTGAACATATGCCTTGATTGAATTAGGCTTTGTTGAATGGATTGCATTAAAGCCCAAACGGCCCAAAGCACGCTGAACCGTTACACGTGCCCAGGTTCGAATGCAAGGTATTTATTAACCAATGTTCTTCATCATTTGTGTTTCTTTCATCTTCTTCACTTGTCATCTGATTCTTATCCCTCGCACTGAACTCTGGTGTTAATCGAATTTATCGATTTCGGGAAAACCTCCAACGATGGCCGCGGAGACGCTCCCCTACCAGAATGGCGTCGTTGCCAACTCCACCGACTCCACCGCCTCTGCCAAGAAATCGCGCGAGAGCGAGCGTCGCCGCCGCCGTCGCAAGCAGAAGAAAAACAACAGAGCATCGGAGGTTCCGGCGTCCGACGCCGCGGAACAAAGCGACGATGCGAAGGAGAACACTGAATCAAAGCAGGTTCTCATCGTTCCAACTTTTATTACTCTGATACTTTCTCAGGTTTTAGTACGTTGGTTATTATCCTTACTCCATTTCAAGTTGTAATCAATAATTGCTTTGTTGCTGGAAAGGATAGATAAGAAGGAAATGGATTCTAGATGCGTTTTGTTCCAATAATGTTGCAGTGAAATTAGGGTTTTCGTACTTGAACAGAGCTCGTCGTTAGTCGATTCAGAGATTTTGGTTGAGGATTAGCTAGTGAGAGAATCTATAGGGCTTTGCTTCGTGAAAGGATTTGGAGGGAAAAGATAGGAAAATGATCCGTCTAGTTGGACTAGACCATGTTCCATGTCCACGGAATTTATTCCGCCGTTGCACCAAACATAGTTATTCATCCGTTGCAAATTTAGTTTGTTTCGATTGAAGTTCTTAAACTGGACTAATTACTATTATTATTCTATTGAGCGTCATTGTTGAGTGTTTTTGAGGTATATAGGTGATTAGATCATGTCTCGTGGCAGATCATTGTTTCCTTTGATAACAGAGTGAAATATTCTGGATGTCATTGAAATATATCATAATTTGTGCACAAATTATGTCGGTATTTTCTTCAATTGCAGGTTGTTGAACAGATTGAAATCGAGTATGTGCCAGAGAAGGCAGAGTTAGAGGAAGGCATGGACGAAGAATTTAGAAAAATCTTTGAGAAATTTAGTTTCAGCGATGTCACTGCTTTGGAGGTAATCTTTGTGTCTCAATTGTCTTCTTCTCGTTGCAACTTTTTTGTATATTGTGACTGAAGGTTTTTTATTATACTACTAGGATACTGATAAGAAGGATGGTTCAGAAGAAAATGCAGCTGCTAAGAAGAAGGCTGATTCTGATTCTGAAGAGGAAGAAAACGATAACGAGCAAAGAGAGAAAGGCATCTCAAACAAGAAAAAAAAGGTGTAGGAATTTGTAACTTGTTTTTTTTATCTGTTTATTCGTTTCTCACTAAACTCTTCCTTTTGATAATTATTCTAAAAGTTTTAATTCTTTCTCGTTCAGCTTCAACGGAGGATGAAAATTGCTGAACTGAAACAAATCTCCTCAAGGCCAGATGTTGTTGAGGTATGAATTCTTTGTATAGCAAATTTTGATTTAAATTGTTGAGCATCCCCTTCCTACTACTAGGTTGGTCTCAAGGCCATTATGCTAATCTTATGTAAGTTTCTTTTTCATTTTGAAGGTGTGGGATGCTACTGCATCAGACCCAAAGTTGCTGGTGTTCTTGAAGTCTTATCGGAATACTGTACCTGTACCTAGGCATTGGTGTCAGAAGAGAAAATTTTTACAGGTTAGTCTGCATTCTAGATGTATGGGGTTAACAATGCAAGCATGTATGATAGTTGTGGCCTGCACAAGGGATGTAGTTATAGGGTGAGGAGGATAACGTCGATAAGGTTTCTCTTATATATATGTATGTGGTGCTTGCAGGGGAGCGGCTGTGGCAATCACCAACCCTGGACTTGTAGGTGTTTGGCAATGGGCGACCTTGAGTCATTTATCTTTTATTTTCTTTGTTAGATTGAATGGATATGGAGCTTGTATTATGTTATATATAATGGGGAACTATAATCAAATGGAATTTTTGCATAATATTAATGGGTATTTATTTATATCAAAGATGCTAATAGTTCTGCTTTGAATTTTCAGATGCCTTTCCATTGTGCTTAATGCTCGGGCTGAATTCCCTCTTATCTTCAATTTTTTATGATTGATATTACTTGGCCCAATTACATAGTGGTGTATGTTCATATAAGTATTTGTATCTCATCAAAAGTTGTTTTGTTTGACAGGGTAAACGAGGTATTGAGAAGCCACCCTTTCAACTTCCTGATTTCATTGCTGCTACTGGAATTGAGAAAATCAGACAGGTATTGTACCATCGTTTGCATATGTTTTTCAAGAAATCATCTGTTTGCATATGATGCGACTCTTTTTGGAGTGACCTTCTACAAAAAGAAATTAAGTATTCTCTGATTTATTTATAAATTTTGTATGTTATTTGTGTCC